AAACCACATCCATGACAACCCAAGGCACAGAATTCAGTGGGAGAGAGTCACAGCCCTCACCACCAACCTCAAAGACTTCATGATCAGGAAACTACAAGAAGCCATCAACATCAAAAGATTCCAGCCATCAATCAACCGTGACCAAGGCTGTTACATACCCCCGGCGTACCATCAACTCATCAAAGACCTCAATCAGCCATAATCCCGTTGTTTTATATACTGAACAACAAAAGTTCCTGTGACATTGAATAAGATTTAATGCAAAGTTATGTTTTTTACCAAACCTGAAACAATTTCAGTGTGCAACAGTTAAAAGACTCCTGTAAGTGTTCAAATGGTTTAATTTGTCATACTGACTTCAGAAAATGTGTGATTTCATAAAAAAAAACATGAACATGCCAAAATCAATTTACAAATCAATAGCGTGTGTGTCCACGTCTGGTTGTGATGCAAGCAACGCATCTTCGTCTCATGGAATGGACCAGGTGTCGCACAAAGTCCTGTGGGATATCTGTCCATATCTGCTGGAGCATGTTTTGAAGTTCCTGGAGTGTCTGTGGAACACATGGTTGACGTCGAAGGCACGGATCCATCTCATCCCACATGTTCTCGATTGGTGAGAGATCAGGGTAGCGAGCCGGCCAGGGGATGACATTTCATAGGTGTGTTGTTCGAATCCAACAAATTTCTGAGTGGTTGTTGGCAGCACGATGCTAAACAATGCATATGGAATCCCGTTAACTCACATGTTTTTATACCCATTCTTGGGTAGTGAAATGCCTGGGGCTTGCATAAAACCTTTGCATGGAATGCATGCTTTTCTGTTGCAGATGCGTTTTTGTGACTTGATTCCATACATGTACTACAATATTGAAAACCAAACTTTACTTGTTTGAAAAATACACTAAAATATTGGTGTCACAGGAACTTTTGTTGTTGAGTATATTACTGGCTTCATTCTTTATGTCACTGACTTCCCCAATGATTGTCATCACTACCCTTGTGTATACATAACAGGCTTCTCTACTCCAGTATAACAATATCTACTCTACTGTATAAACATTGCCTCATACTTATATATACTTACCAACCACACTCTGTATACCGTCCGCGAAATGCAATAAATGCGAAGCGGACGTAAAATCATTAAATCAGTCTGACTCTGTATATCACTTGCTTGATAATGGTGTTAGAACCTACACCGAAACGTCGCTCTTAATTGTAATAAATAATAAATGTAATAAATTCTTTTCCCTACTTTGCCTCTGGTAGGTTACATCAGTCTTATTATGATCAAATAGCAACAAGACCACAAGGGTAATGAGTGGCTAGAATAATGGTACTTCAAAAGCTTGACAGAAAAAAAAAAGATACCTTGTTTAGATGCACCTTAAATGTAATAACCCATTCGACACTCCTCAAAGAGGGGATAGCTCGGGTGGCAACAGACATCTCGGAGGTAGACTAACAAAGACAGTCTTCCTGTTGAATTTTGCAATTAATTCCCATCCGAGACCAAGATGCAATATGCATATGTCCTTTCGAGGTTGATCCTCATGAAATAGTGCATGTATTTTGCTGACACCAGCCATGTATTCTTAGCTTCTGCCTATTTCAAGGACACAGTTGCCAAGGGTACATTTGTTGAGGTGTTGCAAACAGCTGGGAAAAGCAAAGTAGCACTGGCCAATCTTTTACTGATGAAGAGAGTTACGCTAATGCAAAGTGATTGAACTGGTTGGGGGAGATCTTTAGCCACTGGTCTGGCTGGAGAAAAAGGCGGTTGTTGGCTTTCACATGAAGGACAGCCACCGGCTTCATACTTCCCTTTGGGCGTGATTCTGTAAGCAATCGCTCAGATACACTTATAGTCTGATCTTCAGGGCGGTTCATGGATAGCAATGACGTCAGCATTGGCAGTTCTGTTAGGGACAGGTGATACCCCTCCTTCAGGATTTAAATAATGTTCATAATGACCATTCTTAGGGGTGGCGTTGGACGGGCTCTGGTGTCTTCTTCTCTTGACATTTCATATCTTCAACATCCATCTCTACTGAACAGATGGCATTGAAAACAGCTGGAGCCGACCAAGGCTGCGTCAAGAACTGCATCGTGTACTCAAGAATCATACTCACTGAGTAAGGTACTTGTGATGAAGTAAAGTGCTGGAGCCAGTAGCAAGTAGTTGTCCCAAAATTTAGACATTGTACATTATGCATCATATTATGCATCATATTATGATCAAGAGCATCAATCTGCGCCTCATTCGCCATCATGAGCATGTGATGAATAGCAGCATCCATGGATATCTTATCTTTGTCATCAGTAATGAACAAGGAATATTCTTGCCCATCTTAGGAGCATTGTCAATGAGCGGTGGAGCCTTCATTAAAAAAGGAAGCTTGTGGACTTCATAAACACGAGTCTTAAGAAGGCATGTGTCATCAGCATATCCTTCATTTTTTTAAGGCCAGCACATACAAGGATGAAATCAGAGGTGCAGGTTGAAGCTGGCGTGTAGACAAGTCTTCACCCTATATAATGAAGGCAAACTAGAGAAGGTCTTGACTTCTGGGGTGATCAAAGGGAAAGTTGGACACAATCCAGCACAAAACAGTGTCTTCAGCAAGGCAACAAATGGATTCAGTATCGCTGAGTTGACACTCACCTTAAGGAGTAAAAGGGTCTTCAACAAACAGAAAGAGAATTGTGTCAGCAAGATGCCTGAAACACTGCCATAGGCGCCAGAGATGTAGATGAATGAGGAGCTCAAGTCACAGTAGCAAGAGAAGTCTGGGGGAGCTCTGGGTTGAGATAACTGAGATGTACTTGGCCGAGGAACCTGCAAGGCTCTGTGGAGGTAGATTGTGCCTGAGGTGATGGATGATAATCTTGACAGTCCCACGGCAGTCTGTAAATAATTGAGTCTGGACCAGACAATCCAGTGAGACATCATATAATTGGGATACGATGACATATATCATCCAAGTCAGCGAGCCTGACCACCCGATTCAGTTAGTCACCTCTTGCGACAAGCATAGTCACCTCTTACGACAAGCATAGTCGCCTCTTAGGACAAGCATGGGTTGCTGAATACCTATTCTAACCCCAATGTTCATGGGTTCCTCTGGCAGGAGGACTTGTCAAACGACTGCAGCGAAGCCTGGTCTACATCCCCTGTCAAAGGCATCACTGCTGTGCAGGAACAGGCATTGCAGTGGTAAACAAGTAGTGATGAGTGATGGATGTCAGAGGCTGTTGCCAGCCGCTGCCGGCAATTGAAATTCTTATGGAATTTCAAGCAGGAAATCCTACAGTGTTCGTACAGGTGTATAAAGTTCTACAAATGGTTGTGTTTGATCACAGTGTTTCCATATGATGTTAGGAGAAATAGAGACTGCAGGCAGGCAGAGACAGGCAGAGACAGGACATATTGAAAATCAGGCATCATCATTGGTGCAAACAATGGCCGAAGTTTCAACAAAATAGGTCTTAGTGGTTTCTGAGGTGATGATGTTTATCTGAGAAAAATGTCTTTTGTGAACAATTAGGATCATGTTCAAAGTGCAGATGTCATATCAAAGTCAAAATTGAAAATATCACTAAAATCAGAAACATGTGTTGAGCCCTACTACAAACTACACATATACCAAATTTCAATACACATTACACAGAAATGTTCCATTTATGAGTAATTTCACACAAGGAGTTTTAGAGGCAAGTTCCCAACATCAGTGAGGAAACACCCTGAGGTGTTTGAATAGTGACATGTAGGTGATCTTGCAGACCAAGCTAACACATTCAATTTCTTCTGATTCAGATACCAATACACAACTCTGGCAACATGTATAACTCCAGGGCTGTTCTGTTGCAAAAACGATAAAATGTTTATTTGCATCTTGGTATCTCGCAGCATTCAAATTGCGAATCACAATCAATGTCAGAATCTTGATAAAACATGACATCTCCTGCCAGAAGGGAAAGAAATTTCTGAGCGGGACAATAAATCCCTTATACCCACCCCACCATGAAGAAAACAGGCTGCACATGGATTTCTGAGCATGACACTCGGATAATAACCCCATTACCTCCAAAGGTAACAGATTCAAGAACACATGGAGTGATGTAACATTCCCCCCAATGTCTTTAGACACGTGTCCTGCCATTGGATCAGTGAAGAAGGAAACATGACTAATCAGTGAAGAAGACCCTGTTGTGGTAATGACATCAAAATGTTTTAGTGTCAAAACTTGTACATAATGCAAATTTGTCTTGTTGGTTTAGAGGGATAAGTCCACATGCATTTTACAGCAGTTTTCATGTAACTGTCAAGCCTCTATTAGTCACCTGGAGGTATTTTGTGAGCAAGTTTCAGAAGGCATTACCACAACAGTGTTGTCATTACCAAAATGATTTTGTCATTTCCACAACATATTTCTGCTTCCACCCTCTCTAATTTGTCTTTATAAAAGCATTATAATGCACCTTAACTTCAAATTCATGTTGATTCTGTTTCTGATTTTGGATGTTATTTGTTTAAAGTTCATTTCGCCTTAAACACATTGTTTAGCTATTTTACATGAAACAAAACACTTTCAAAAACTGTATATTATATCATTTGAGTTTTAAACCTTGGTGTACCATTTGGTATTGAGTATATAATCCAGCTCTTTACTAACAAACTTTAAAAAATCCGACTGCAGCCGACAAGTTATAAGTAAATAAGATATATGGCATTAATAGTAATGTTGTAATGACATTTTATTTTGATTTCTTATATTCTGTAAAATTTTGATAAATTTTTATTGTGCAAATTTTGCAGCTGTTTTAAAATGTATAAACTGCAATTAACAGTGGTTACAATAGTTATGCCAAAACAAATACAGTAGAGATATCACTGTTTATGGTCTTCTGTCAGGATTGGACGTATAGCTAGGTGCTTCACATGCCGTTGATACGCAGATGATTTCAGATCGTCGAAGCAGATACGCCTTTCTTACCAGCTGCAAAGATGGTTTGGGCTTCTGACAGTTGCTGACTGAATCCTGTGCCAAAGATGAGTGGTTCAAATCCATATGTCTTGGCAAGGGATTGTCTTGCGTGGGTGGCCATGAATGGGACATGTCTCTGATGTGGCTGTTCTGTTGATAACATTGCCATATTGTGTTCCTGCTGACACTGAATGGACATGATGCACAATGCCAGATTCAAGCAGTCCTATGGCTGCCCATATGGTATTTCCACTGAGGCATGCCATGGTGAAATCTAATCCAAACGATCAAAAGTGGTGTGTTCTGAACTTGGGAAGACTGCTTAGAGTGGCAAAGATGTGGGGATGGATATCTGACCTTTCATAGTGAACATTTGAAGCAATTTCTCTGTATATTCCTTATTTCTGGTGAAAAACAAAGGTGTTCCATGGTTTAAATCCAAAAATTCAAATAAAGATTTATAAGTAAAAAACATCTACATCACAATAAGTTTTGCCTTTGACCATAATTTTGCAAAATATTCCCTGGCACCAGAGTTGAATGACAATCATAAAGCCTTAAATTTGTTTGATATACTTAAATAGCAATAATCAATCTTGCAAAGTTTCCATGATATAAGCTCATTTGAGTCAGGAGAATGAATGCAAATAAATATCAGAATCTGATACAGCTAGAAACTAACTATAGAAATCAGGTGGTGGGATTCTTTAAATGTAAAAGAGTGTACCCCTCATTCTCTCCATCTTATTGCCATATGCCATATCATACTGGTAGGCCAGCAGGAAAGTCAAAGGCAGTGCCGGGATCAGGACGGTTGGCTTCCGCTGCTTGCTAAACCTGTAGAAAAATAGGCATGCTTTTATTACTCACATTAATTCCCCTGGTCTATTTGAGTAAAGATAGAAATTGAGATACATGCATTCAATTGTGAAATGTTCAAATATATACCACAAATCATGAAATTAATGTGTCATCAAATTAATGAGAATGCCACGCCCCAATCTTATTTAAATCAGAACGACCTTTCATCCGACAAATCAAAGCCTCGCTTACAAAATCATGAAAGTGCCAGTCGGAATGTGTTTTCTCATCATGCAACTTTGAAAATGTTAACACGGGGTATTTCGAATGACAGTTACAGCCCGTACGACTGATTCCATCAAAAATATTGTTTATCCCTTGCTTCTGTGGGATTAACATTTGAATGGAGGAGGCGTTGCACAGTACGTGGGAAGCACTGCCATACAATCTCAACCATATATTAGACATTCCAGAATTTTTGTTTCTACAGTTTTCAAACTTTTAATCGAGAACTGTGCCAACTTATTTTTCAAGCTTAGTCTGAAATGGAAGTTGCCCGGTTGAAACGATTGCTGTAAAGCTCAAGACAGCTGCTATCTAATTGGCTGGTGCCGACTTTTTGTTAGTCATTTCAGTGGTCTATCAAAGTTCATGAAAGGTCGTTCTGACGTGACCCATAATGGGATGTCCTCAGATCTTTGTTTAGCGACAGCGAGAACTTATGTCTGATTTTAATGAGATTGGCCAAGCCCTAGCCTAAAATGTGTCGTGAAATACATTTCAGTAGCACACTGTCGGCATAAAATGCCATGATAAAGATTGGTTTCTTCACACCATAACTTTCCACTTTTGACATGTGGTCAAACATCCATGAAATCACCAGTTATTGAATTCCCTAGATCAGCTGTTGATACACAAATAGATCAGCTGTTGATAAATTAATTACACTTTAAGATAACTTTTCCCATTTCCCATATGAAGAAGACACTTCCAACCATGCTCCATACTAACAATGCATTACAGAGTCAAGTTATATATACTCAACGCAAAAAGAAACATGAACCAGACAAACATATAGAGATGTATGTACGTTAAGAAGAGATCTTTTAAATGTGTACCACTAAATGACAAATCTTACAATCAGTCAAGTCAAAGTAGACACAACTTATAGATAACAATTCTTTAATTACTGTAAAGGCGACGTTTCAGTACAGCTCCTTTTACTGCTGTCTAGCAAGGCTAAAGAATGAACATCGTTCAGAATATATACAGTATGTGGAGGGTAACAAAAATTACGTACATGAGAGAGAATAAAATTAGTATGTTAAATAAAGACAGAAGTATAATACAGTAACAAAAGATGGACAGAGAACACATGATGAGGATGCCAACAAGACTGGAAGCAAAACAGGATAAGCATACAAACGTGGGGTGTATACTTTTTCGGTTTACTTTGCTTCCTGTCTTATTGGCATCCTCATCATGTGTTCTCTGTCCATCTTTTTTTACAGTATAATCCTTCTGTTGTCATTATTTAACCTACTTCATTCTGGTGCATCTCGAGTCATGGGTCTATGATGTCACATGTGATGCGTGACAAAGTGGGGTGGGGTATATAGAAACAGAGTTTGTTCGTCCTTCCCCCCGCTTCTCAAATGGGACAGAGTTTCTCCAAAACTACTTATATCAGAGAAATGAAACTCCATACACTGAAGTTTGTCATGATCTCAAATAAGTTAAAAAATTGGTGTCATAAATTCATTTTTTACAGAGTAATGTAAAAAATCTTCGTTATTACAGTTGCCAAAGGTGCATACATCATTATCAATCAATTTCATCTTAAGTAATTCTTTTTTTGTGTAAATAACTTTGTATATGCATTTATGCTAGAACTCTAACGATTTCACATCTTTTATTGATATTCTAATTGGGTAAATACTTTATTCCACTATTCCAGGAGGATCTCGTGCCTGTATGTGCCGCCCCAGAATATCCCAAATATGTTCAAGGGGGTTCAAATCTGGGCTCATTGCTGGCCAGGGTAGAATCGTTATTGCATTGGCCCTCATGTTATCCACGACTGCTTGCGGACGTTGAGGCCTAGCACTGTCATCCATGTACTGAGGTCGAGTAGCAAGAGGGTGGTTGTCAAAATGAGGAACGACGACTGGCCTTAAAATGTCCCTGATGTACTGAGCCCTTGTAAAGTTGCCGCTTATGGTGACCAAATCCAACCTGCAATCATGAGAGATACACCCCCAAACCATTACCGAGCCCCCGCCGTATACAACAGTCGGTTTAATGTTCCTGGGGGTGTAGGCCGTGTTCCGATGCCTCCAAACTCTTGTTCTTCTATCAGTGATTTCGAGCAGAAAGCGACTTTCGTCTGACCAATGAATCCGCCTCCAAGTTCTCAGATTCCAGTTCTGTCGCGCAATACACCATTACTAAGCTTTGTGGTGATCTCTCAACAAGGGATGCTTTACGACTCGTCTAGCTCTCAGTCCTGCTGCTTTCAGTCGGTTCCTGACGGTTCTGGGGCTGAAATCACAGCTGTTTCAGACGGGTACATATTAAAAAGGGTCCTCAGCAGAGTCAAAGAAGGTCTCTGTCTTCGTGATGTGTCTTCACAGGATGTCTTCCGGATCTTGGACGGTCCTGTACATCATTGGTCTGAGCATGTTTCTCGACTAAACGGCTCACGATGATACCCCAAATTCCGACCAACGGCATTACAAGACATTCCTGCGTTATGCATGCCGATTATTTGCCATCTTGTGGCGTTTGATAATCGCCTTCGTGCCATGGTCACACGTCATTGAATAAGACAGAGCTTAAGAAAGCGATTTTAAAGTTTGGATATGCTGCTTTTAGAGATACTTGAGGGTAGCATGCTGCACCGGCATACCATGCATGGCACGTGAGCTTTTGCCACGCATGACTGATTACATCTCGAGAAAAAATTCTTTCCGTAATTGTATCTTTCATGACTGTTACAAATATTGGGACCAAACAATGATGAAATATATTAGGGTGTGCTTCACTTTTTTCTTTGTGTATATATTTTCCCATTTTCTCAAGATTTTTATCAAATTTATTTATCCCTTGGCAATGGCCTGACAAAAAGTCTTACTACAATTACGTTGAATAGAATGGCAAAATATAATATTCAAATGCTGTTATTTTATATACTTATATGAAGCAATACATGTTTTGGGCGGCACACCAAAAGAAACATCACCATGGATAGATATATGAGAAACATAATTTGTCCAAATGCTGTAAACATACTTTGAGACATATTAAAAAGATGAAACTTGGCAAAACTGATCATCAAGGTTGAAATTAAAGTGTCAAATTTTCTGAAAGTGAAACACAACACTAGTTTCTGAGAAAATGGCATCACAAGTCAGTATCTCGTGTGTCCGCCATGTGCATTGATGACTGCCATGAAATGTCGATACATGGAATGGATGAGGTGGTTGACGAAGGCCATAGGCACTTGAGCCCACAATTTAAGGAACACCTGACGCAGTTCAGCGGAAATTGTTCGCCATGGTTGGATGTCATTCAGCCGTCTTTGAATCTCATCCCACAGGTGCTCAGTGGGATATAAATTGGGACTGAGGGCAGGTCACTGCATGGTTCTGATGCCATTCTGCTGGAGGAAGTCTCTTGCTGCTCTTGCAATGTGGGCACAGGCATTATGGTGTCAGAATGGGTGGGTCGATGCACGGTGTCCGCACTGTGTCGCTTGTGTGTCCCCATGGTCTGTCGAGCAGTTTCCGCAGCAGTAACAAAGCGATCTTGAAGATGCTGTCTCACAATCTGACGATCCTGACGTTGGGTGTTGACCCTTGGTCTTCCACTGCTGTAGTGTTGGTGTTCTGGTACCGTTTCTGGAGCCTGCATATGGTCCTCACATGGACTTGAAATGCATTGGATACTGGCCGGGTGGTTTGTCCAGCTTGCCATCGTCCAAGAGATTGGGGTCGCAATTTTCTTGTCAGTCTTGGCATGTGGTAGCAATTCAATAATGAATGAATGTTATCCGATCCGGGTCGATTTTTATAGGGTAAGGACAGGGGAACGCATGTGCATTTCAATTTGCACGGAACTCACATGTATCGGGTTACCATGGCTGTTGCTGTGATGCGTTTGGGCGATCGGTTTTATTGTCATCTGCTTTGTTTTTTATCATCAAACTTCATTTTTCCGGACAAGGTATTGTTAATTTTTTTAAATTTTGACAAAAATTACCCAGATATTTAAATGACAACTTTTCATGCAATGTTACTTGGGGTGATGTTTCTTTTGTGGTTCAGTATATAGCCGGCAACACCTTATCCCCCTTTGAGAAAAGTTGTCCTCAACATTTAAATGCGCTGAAGCACCCAAACAGAGAAAATGAAACCTTTATGCAACAACTTACACACATAATGAGACCACAATGTTGAAAGTTAACATCACAACTATACAAAAACCTCAAACAATTCTGAGATACCAGGGGCTGCTGAAGTATCCTCAGAAGGGAAAACATCTTTATCAGAAGAAACAAATGGATTGGCAAGAATACTGTAGTCAGTTACCCAATCGCCATTTCGGAGCCAAACCGGAGGAGCTCTGTTACAGGTTGGCCTCTCCATATCCGAGTTCCTTTCTGACTCATGATCAGTGGAGTCTGCAACTACATCCTCGTCACGAGCAGACGTTGCACTGGGCTCCTCTTCAGCTGAAGCAGATGACTGTTCAGGAAGGCTGGAAGTATAGTGTGTTGGAGAAATGTTAGATGATGGTCCAAGAGACGTGTCAGCAGGACTTACTTAGCATTTTCATCTTCTGACTCTATGAGTTCGACAGGATACAGATTTCTTTGTTCCTGCCTTTCTTTCATTGTTTTTCTGATGTCCAAACACTGGTTACACTTGTATTGACACAAGTGGCAGAAGCATGTTCCGATGAAGTGTCTTCTTCTGTCCTTTGGCATCTTCCTATTGCAGTGTGAATACTGGAATGACCTGATTAGGTTGGTCTAC